GCTGGTGCAGGGTATGCGGGTGCGGAGTATGCTGGTTTGTAGGCTGGAGTGGAGTAGGCGGATGCAGAGTGAGCTGGTGTAGAGTGTGCGGGCGCTGAGTAAGCTGGTGCAGAGTGTGCGGGTGCTGTGTAAGCTGGTGCAGAGTGAGCTGGTGCAGGGTATGCGGGTGCGGAGTAAGCTGGCTTGTAGGCTGGTGCAGAGTAAGCTGGTGCAGAGTGTGTGGGTGCTGAGTAAGCTGGTGCAGAGTAAGCTGGTGCAGAGTGAGCTGGTGCAGAGTGTGCGGGTGCTGAGTAACCTTGGCCGTTTCCTTCGATTTTCTTGACTTCGGCGTTGAAACCACTGTGGTCATCGGCGGTGTATTCGACGACGCGAGTGGAACCGTCGGCTTCCAAAAGGCTGTAAGTTCCCTTGACGTAACCGTTTCCGTCGCTGTATTCGGATTGGCTATGCACGTCATAAGTGTGTGGGTCGTTTACGCTGTATTCGAAGTTGTACGGAATTGGGGCGTACGCGTGTTCTGCTTCGGCGTTTTGCGCTGGGTAAGCTGGGGCAGAGTATTGTGCGAATGTGGTGGCCACACAGGCGGCGAAAATGATCATCTAAAATTGAAACAAACATGTTTAAAAAAAAAAATCAAGTTTTGTACTAAGATAAATGTTTATTTTTTTTAAATTTCATTAAAAATAATATAAGTACCTTAACTGCCATTTTATTTTTTTATGTTTTTGAACGATGCTGTGTGTGCTTGTTAGTTCTGCTGTTTGAAACTGATATCTGTTCACTGTTGACACTCCGTATTTAAGTTGACTGATAATTTTTAATCTTACCCTTCCAATAAAATCTATTTAATATTTAATATTGAATAATACATATCGTCATATTTATATGTTATAATTATTTGAACCGGTTGTATGTAATATTATTCCGTTAGTGTTATTATTTTGGACAATAAGCTGTTACCTCCTATAATTGCCGAAATAATATTAAGCTATCCAATTATTTAGTTATTTTATTTGGTACCTATATTATGGCACAATCTAATTATTGAGTTCTGTGAYATAATGTTTTAACATATTTGTTAGGTTGTTGGCATACTTAGCATACCTATTCATTATATAGGTAGGTATATATTATACTGTGTTCGTATTTTGAATTTTCTGATACAAAATAATTTTGTAGATTAACATGTTTACTTCACTAAATTTAAAAATATTAAAATGAATCTATCTTTTAAAAAATCTTAGTGTTTTAATATAAGAACAAATATTGACATTCAATTTATCATTCAAGTATTGAAACACCGTGTGTTGGTCACTTATCACACATCTTGCTACCTAATTTGTCCTCGGCTATTGGCGTATGTGCATAATTATTAGGAATTATGAATTTGAATGTTTCTAATATGCATTACAAAATCAAGCTTATGAAATAGTATATAGACCATGTGAAATTATAAACTATAACCTTCTTTCCATTAACTTATACAATATGTGTTATAGAAGTTATGGTATTACATATCGATTTACATAGATAAAAATTAACTCTATAGGTTGTTGCGTAATATGACGTGTACATAATACAAACAATTTTTCAAGGAAATATTGAAAAATCGTTTAAGTTAACTAATTTTCTTTAATTTACAGATCGTATCGTGTTCACAACTCAACAACGCATAATTATTTATGTAAGTATTATCATAATACATTTTAACAGTCTGTTACCACAATCGTGTTTTGTATGATTTACTGCTCATATTTTATCGAAAGGCACGACAACTATAGTAAAAATAAAATAGGTATATAAACCTGTTTTCGTATTTTCATCGGTATAATGACTCGTCAAACAAATATTTGAGTCATCTGATATTGTTTTACTGTTGTTAGATTAAAGCTGTATATAAATTCAAATTATTTTATTTTAGATAATATTACCTCATATTAATAATAGTCTAAATTATTATAATATTAGGCGTTTTTTTATTTTTAATCATCCAAAATATTAAGCAATGCATTAAAATAATATTATACAAAATGTATATGATGTCAAACTAATGGCCCGAACAATCGATGTTTTATGTAAAGATCGATTATATATATATATACACTATTAAAACCGTGACAAAATCCTACTAACATTATCTTCGGAGAACAAACGAAAATAATTTATCTGCAATTATTTTCAGAGCCATAGCCTATGAAATTAAAGCCAAACAATTTTTTGAATTCAATACTGAATGATTACCCAACGACCAAATGTGGTTATGGCGATATGCTTATATTTACTATAAATATCTTTATATGTATTGAATTATCTACTTATGATCTTTTATTTTGTAATGATTTGTCTTATACACGATTGATCTTCGTATTCAATACCTATTTCTTGTAATTTTCCTAATGTTTTGTAACTTTAAAAATAATATTACAATAGAACATTTTCTACATGCATGAAGGTCGGGATAAACATGCATTTACCTATGTAATTATATTAATAAGTAATAACGTGAGATACTATTATATCACAGTAATGCCCAACCTGCATCTTATAGCCTACAGCACATTCTGTAGCGCATTCCTTATGTAGTGTGACCTACGACATTTTGGTTGAAGTACAAACAAAAAATACAAATAATTTTAGTTATATTAAAATGGTTTTAAAAATAATATAATAATTCATATCCATTATATTACCTATTAAATTTTAAAATAAATATGTTTTTTGCTTGGTACAGGATGAAAGTGATTTTAAACGATTTTTTGTAAGATTTTGGTTGCCATGTTTACTTATTAACATAAATATATTTATGAGTCATATATTTCCATTTCAGAGGAAAAATATCAAGTATCGTTTACTGTTCTTGTCATTTTTTATGATTGATGGAAAAATTTGACAATTTTTTACAAAATATTAAACATTTTATATAATACAAGTAAACCATTTTCGTGTATCTAGTTCTAGTAAAAAGTTTAAAAATATAGTTTTGATTCACTAAATTTTTTAGTTTTGTTCTTCTAAAATTTACTTATTTTACTACTAATTAAACTAATTTTAATTTAATTTAAATTTAATAAGGGAATTTAGTAAACAATTTTTTTATAAAATTAATATTTGTGTAACATTTTTGTGTAATTATAACTACTTAAAAATCATATTTTGTGGTTTGAGCAAACGACCTGACGAGGTTATACGCTTTAACAATTATTCATTAATGTACTATATCACATAATAATATATGAGATTATATTTTAATATATTATTTTATAGAGCTTTAATTAAATGTAATATCTAAGTAGATCGAATTTTAACATTTTATAGCAGAATTGATTAAAATTGTTCAGAATGTCTTGCTGTGCTCTAATCATTTTATAACCATGTGTATTATATTCTTCAAACACGAAACAACATCCGCCCAGAATAGTTTTTGATTGAATGCAAACGTGTTTTCAAATTCAAATTAATAATATACCTGCACTGTTCTGCGCCGAGGTGATCAAACAGAGGAGTAACCAACACATAATTATCGTATCCAATATAATATCTGTCCGATTTTTTCAGTAAGCCATTCGATATAATTTAAACTATACCAATACTATTAAATCACGTAAAAGTGTTCTACTTAAATCTATAAAACGTACACAGGTATATACAACTTCTACAGAGCGTGTGATTATCATTGTTGGTACTACTATTACAATATTATAATATAGAGTTTATCGTCGTGTTTATTTCTGTACATTTTTCTTTCCTATTAATGATTTTGAAATACATTTTAAGACACCTATTTAATACCATTAGATATGCCTAATAAATGCAATTGTTACATAAAGGTTAGTTTAAAATTGAAGTAGAGTTTTTTTTATACGTGATAGTTTTTAAAGTAATGAATTACAAATTACTTAGACACCCCTTCAGCTGTTATCTTTTTATCAAAACTTTAAATGATTAATTATTATTTAAAAAAATATAATTGGTTCAATATTCGATGTTTAAATATTTGAATCTGTATTTTCGATAATAGAACGAAAAATTTACGTTGCCATTGAAAACCTACCTATCATTAGTGTAACAAGATGTATTTTAAACCCTGTAAGACCATGTTTTATAAAATTATAAAAATTCATGTAGCAACTTAAATATATCACTTCGTGTCCCTTGTGTAATATGATTATTAAACATATTTTAAAAATATTAAATTATAAATAAATTTATACAAATTATGCACATTACATTCATTCAAAAACCTACTAAATAGTAAGCCGAACTCCACTTAAAATCGTATTGAAAGAACATAACTATTGATTTCTACTTGAATGACTCATTGTAGCATTATTAACTTGTCTTGTATTTCACATTATATATTATAACATTACGAGTATTGTATTAATCGTAATAGTAATAGGTAGTATTAGTTGGTAACAAAACATTCAAAAAATGCAACTGTAAAAGAATTTTTTTTAATTATATATTTTTTTGAATATTTTTCAATAAAAATAAAATAAAATAATATTAATTCTGCTAGACAATATTGCTGACATACATTGTTAAAAGTTTATATTTACTATTTTGCATTACTTAATGAATTATTTCTTTCAATTGTACAATAAAATGTTATATTGTTCATGAACGAAATTTCTGTATTTAAACAGTGAAGAAAAATGTGTTACTTTTGTAGTACATATGCCAAAACACCGAAATGAGAAAAAATATAATACCAATTTGACCATGGTGAATAAATGGCAATTTCAAATGAAGAAAAACCTTTTAAATTTTACTGTTGTTTTTTTTTTAGTTGAAATAAGAACGTTGTTCGAGACTTTATATACGTTTAGTTCTATAACAATGACATTTAAAACTGCCGCAGTAATTATATTAAGTTTAAAATGCGAACACATTAAAGAATTAAGCAATGTCTTACTGTTGTGCAGCAAAGAAATAAAAATCAACAATTGTAATTCAAGTAACTGATTATGTATTTGATAAATTATAACAATTATGACAGTTAAAAAAAAAAAATAACCACAGGAGCTTTTGTTGATTTTTATCATAAAATTTGGAAAATATTTAATTTATTGTCAGTAAATCAGTATGCATGTCACTAGAGAAGACGAAAAAGTCAGTTAGGTATTGCTGCTGGAGCACTATTATAATATGATTTATGAGACTTATTATCAACGTCAGCTTAATTGTTCTAGCGTTATTACTACAGTGTCGGTGACTGGCAGTATATCTGGCAATAGAGTTTGAACCAAAATCGTTGATAATTACTATTCTTATCACGTGTATATTATCAATTTATTATAGCTAGTTAATAAATGAAAAAAGAGATATGAAATAAATACATATTATAATTTATATTATATTTACACTACAATAACGATAGTCGTAATTTTTAAGTTTGCAAGAAATCTTCAACGAGAACACTGCACAATTTGAAGTTGAACAAAGAAATATGAAACAGATGTAGGAAAGAGACATGCACGACTAAGCAAATCAGTATTCTGGCTTATAGGCCGGAGTGGAGTATGCTGGTGCAGAGTGTGTGGGTACAGAGTATGCTGGCGTGTAGGCTGGGGCAGGGGCGCAACACGATTGCGCACTTTTTACCTTTTTATATTTAAGCAAACACAACTAGATTGTGAAGACAACAATTTTATGTTATAGGATTAGAAGAAAATAACAATATTAAAATTGCAACAATAATAATTTAATATTTTTACCAAGTAGAAAATATTGATAGTTAATGCGTCACAAAAAAAAAAAAAATTATAAATTCATAAATTAAGTTCATATAATTCAAAAAATTTCCCAACATTAATAATAATGTAATACGTTTAGTAAAAACAAATAATTATATAATATTATATGTCACAATAACAAATGTCCTGTAACTTTTTAACACAAAAACGTGGTCCCAATGTCTGTAAATAATCATTTAACGATATTTCATTATTTTTATATTTTTTCCATGTATTAATTAGAAATATAATATTTTCTTCTTGTTCTTTAGTACTTTTCTTGGTAATGTAGAAAAAAAAATAAGGACATTTTTAAGTAAAATTAGTTTAAAGAAAATCGAAATTCAGTTGGTACTTCAAAAATAAATTACTGTTGATACTTGAAAATTGAAATATCATATTAGATGTTTAAATTATCGTTTTCTGACGATATCACAAAGGTATAATTTTAAATTTGTTTGGTATTTACTTACGCTATTTTCACGCAATATATATGCAAAATTCTTTTTAAAAGCATATTTTGACGTTACAACGTGGATGAAATTAGATATTTACATTTTAAACGAAAAATACCTATAACTTAATTTTTTTTTGTATATTATTATATTTTCCTAATTAATATTATATCCTAATAAAATCCAAATTTAACATGGAATAAATTACAATTAATTAACAATGATGAGTTTGACACCTAAAAACTGCAATAATCTTTACAACTTTCCTCCTATTTTTTTCAATTGATGAAAAATTGAACAACGAAATAAATATATTATTTCCGAGTGCCGTCGAAATGTGTGCCATAGGTTTACAATCTCTGTTATATACTATATACTGGTGTACTGTACATATTTAATCAACTATATAGTTATAACTACACGGACATAACAAAACAATGATGCCGAATAGAAGAAAAATCGAAAGTCACCGGTACTAGGATCCCAGATTGAAA